AATGAGCTATGCTAAATTGATAAATTCAATTCGATCTTTAATTTCAACAAGTTGTGTTCGGTGTAAAACTTTATATAATGGATAATATTTGGAAACAAACGTATAAGTATGAATCCATATTTCACTAATGTCATTGTCAAAACAAAATTAACAAAGATTTTCCTACAAATAATCAAACATTAATCAAAACAAAGTTTCACGTATTTCGGAACGTGTTACATAATTATCGACGAATAAATTATGGTAGAATGATAGTGTCAGATCAAGACGATCTGTAATGCGACATGCTGAATATAAGGAGAATAGATTACTTTGATCATATTCGAATGATGTATAAATATGAGCAAGAAGCCAAATATGTTTATGTGGACAATCTTCTAACGATTGACGATCATTATCATCAACGAGTAATAACCAACGTGAAACAAATTCGATTGTTTTTTGACATTGAATAAGATTGTTATCGAAATTTTTCTCGACAATGGTGCAAAAAGTTCGCACGAGATCATTTGAATAAGAATTGAGAACATGTTCATTGATGATCTCACTCAATATTTTGTCATTTAAAATTGATTTCATCAATTTATATCGGAATTGTTCGAATGCATATTCAGTAGTTTCGTTCTCGTCGTCGTCATCATAATTATGATCAGCAATTGTGATCGACGGAACTGCATAGTAATGTAAACGAGGAACATATTCTTCTTCTTCTTCCTCTAAATAGAAATAAAATATGTCTAAGTATTCTACGAAATCAATGCGAATGAAAAAAATGCAAAACTTTTTGCTCGGTCTGTTTGAGTATCTGTGTGAGTTCAATTTCATCAGCACAAGACTTGATTCGTTGATGAAATCAATGATAGACTGGTATTTGTGAAAAAGGATTATATTTAATAAAAAATAAATGTCAACAATGAATATTAAATTTTTTTTCCTCTTGTTAAATCGATAATCAATTGACGCAGGTTTTTCCCTTGAATTATGATAGAAAATAATAAATTCACAAATGTAAGTTTGTCAATAATTCAATGACGTAAACAAAGCTCATATTGTTTATCTAGCTTACTTTTTTCATTCTCTGTTATTTGATTTTCTTTAAAATCATGGGCAGTCGTAAATCAAAAATTGTTTCATCAATAACAGAATTTACTGCTAAACAAATAACAGAAATTTGTCGTCAAACGAATTTATCTGATGGTGAAGTTCGTCGTCGTCATACAGCTTTTCTTGAACAATATCCTGATGGTTTAATAACACGTGAACAATTATATGAAAATTTAAATGAAATTTGGCCTGAAGGACATATTGAAAAGCTTGTTTCATATCTTTTTCATATTTTGTAAGTTTATTTTAATTATTCTTTTTTTAATTTAATTTAATTTACAAAATAAATACAGATCAAAATCGAAATGGAAAAATTGATTTTATAGAATTTATTAAAATAACACATAAATTAGATTCAAATGATGATAATATACAAAATGATAATGAAAGAACATTTCTTGGTTTACTTTTTGATATGTTTGATAGAAATCATAATGGGTACATATTCTTTTTTTTTATTTTTTCAATATAAATTAAAATTATCAAATTCTAGATATTTAAAAAAATGAATTAAAACCATTAATTGAATCAATATATGATGTAGCTGGTTTAGCTGATAATGAAAAACGTGAAATGTATTCAATTCATGCTCAAGTTAAATATTTATTTAAAACACTTAATCAAAATGGCGATAAACGTTTATTAAAACAAGAATTTATTCATCAACAAAATTAGACTAATGATGAAAGAATTGGACGATTTTTTTCAGTTATTAAAATATCAGTAATTAACAACAGAAGAAAAATTCTTCGAACTTTTTTATTGTATATTGTTTGTTTTTATTAATTTTCAAATTAATAATAATCCAGCTAGAAAAATTTTTCTAAATGAATATAAGGTATTCATTTTGTCCATCTAGTTCCGTTTTCTTGATAGAATGTCTATATCAGTTTTCCTTCTCAGAGAAATATTTATTAAAGATTAAATATGAGCAGAAAGATTATGATTTTTATATCTGTGAGAGTTATAAGAATTGTAAATTTATGATAAAAGAATATTTAATAAATTTTTTTTGCTTTTGAAAAACCTTGGATTTTTAATGAATTTTTTACTTTCATAAATAAATAAGGTTCATTAAGTAAATGAAACAATTTAGTCATATTTATATGAATGACGTTGACGAATATGTATAAATATTTTGAAAAAGAATTTGTATAGAAAGTTAGTTCAATATCAATTTTTATTTAGAAATTAAGTTTTTTATCTGATAATAGATAGTCGAGTTGACTTTTCGAAATGAAAGATATATTATAGATTGTTGACATTCTTTTTATAACTACCATGCACCTGATGAAACGATGTATACCGTATTTTTATCTTGTCTATATTTAAATCGATACAAAAAAGTGTCGGATAAACAAAATATAAATGAGTATTGCTCGTGTCGGTTTATTATTTTTTTTTCTATTCTGGTTATTCAATGTAAGTATCAATCTATTTGAAAATTTGAATAAAATAAAAATTTGATGTGATTTAAAGTAATGGAGTACTTCGTTTTGCAAATTATATTCAAGATCATATGATACTTCAACGAGCTCCACAAAGAGCCGTTATATGGGGATATGGAGATGCAAGTAAATTAACTATTCTCAAAATGAATAATAAAGTTTATACAACAATAAGTCGTTCCGAACTAGTCAATGAATAAGGTAAAAGTATTTAGTCAATAACACTTGAACCTGTATATGATGAAGGACCATTTGATATTCACGTTTCACAACAATTAGCTAATGGAACACTTGTTACAATTACACTTCATAATGTTTTATTTGGTGATGTTTGGATTTGTTCAGGTCAATCAAATATGCAAATGACAGTGAGTTTGATTTTCAATGTTACAGGACAAATTGCTAATGGAAGTAATTATCCAAAAATTCGAGTATTTACTGCTGCACTTAAACCATAAACAACACCTGTTGAAGAATTACTTGGTATTACATTAAATTGGTCAATAGATCATCAAAAAGTATTGGTGGACCAAATTGGAGTTGTATGTCAGCTATTTGTTGGCTTTAGAGTCGTATAATTCATAAAGCATTAAATGGTCGACCGATTGGTCTTATTGCTACTATTTGGAGTGTAACAGCTATTGAACTTTGAATGCCACCAAAAGCATTACAAGATTGTGGCATTCCAATGTATATATTTAAAATTTTCTTTTATCTATTTCATTTCACTTTTGATATAGAAATAGAGATGTTCCAATCCAACCATATGATAATCCTTCTGTAACGACAACACTTAATCATTCAAATTTATTTAATGCAATGATCTATCCGTTTACATGTACTGTTGTCTATGGTGCAATATGGTATCAAGGTAATAACAACAAGATTGTGATAGATTTTTTATTTTATTTATTTAGGTGAAACAAATGCTGGTTATAATACCGATAAATATGCTTGTTTATTTTCGAAAATGATTCAATATTGGAGACAAACATGGAATGAACGTGCAAATGATATAGCGGATATTTATTTTCCATTTGGTTTTTTTCAATTAAATTTCATTGCTATATATTAGAAAAAAATTCATTTTATATATAGTTATCAACAACTACGAATTCAAGTACAGTAGTCGGTGGTTTTCCATTAATTCGATGGCATCAAACATTTGATATTGGTTATGTTCCAAATAATGTTGCTCCAAAAATCTTTATTGTGATTGCTTTGGATTTACCTGATGATCCTAATGGATAAGCTGAAATTTTCTACTTATTATTTAAAATTTTTCATTCTTCTAGTGTTCGTCCTCGATATAAACATGATGTAGGTTATCGATTATCACATTCTGGTCTTGCGGTTGCTTATGGACAACAAGTTGAATTTCAAGATCCTATTGTACAAAGTGTTGCTTATGCAACTGATAGTAGAACAGTGCATATAATTTATACTGGTGTATCAAATATTGAATTACGTAATCCAAATGGGTTTGAGGTTCAGATTTAAGTTTTTTAGGATTTATAGTATTTATATTTTTAGGTTTGTTGTCAAGGAAGTCTTTGTTCAAAAGATAAGTTATGGATTCCAGCGACAATTTCAAGTAAAAATCTTTTGACAATAACGTTAATATCTAAATGTATTTCTTTTTTTCTTCAACATTGAATAGATGTATGTTTATTGTAACCAATAAAGAAAATTTATCCTTTGTTTAATGTTTATTTAAACATGAGCAGAAAAATACGTGTACATAATTTATAAAAAGCTATTTTTTTAAATTGTTTTATCAAAGTTTTCATTTATGACATATTTTCCATATTTATCAAATTCCTGTTTGGTAATGTACTTAGGGTTATCCAAAAGTAGTGACGGAGGTTCTTTTTTTCTTATAGAAAGCTTGAAAAAATTTTCTTTTTTTATGAATAGATAGAGTGTCTTTCGCTCTATCTTTCTATGCTATTTGATCCCTATTAAACTAATATCATAATAATAAAATTTCGATAAGAGCTATTTATGTTGAAAACCAGCTGGTAACATTTAGATCATAATGGGCCTAGAGGTGCACAAGTGCCAGTACCTGGGTCCCAGTCGGACTGGATACCCAGCCACGACTGGGTACTTAGTCATTTGACGTTTATTCCGCTAATCGATCAGTACTTCCCTCTTTTCTAAGGATGTGGGTGTGGGGGTGGATTTGATGCTGGTATGGGTGTCGCTATTGTCATGCTAACTATTCCCACATACAAACAACATCCACTCCCACATCCATCCAAATAACACCCACACCATGAAGAGATGAAATTTATTTACAGTATCCTAAATTATAACGATTGATATATAGATATATATGATTAGCCAATGGATTCAGTGTTATAGTTTATATCAGTACTTCAACAGCCTAAGAATCACTGTATGACAATATACTAGAAAAGAAGAAAGTACTACTCGACTAATGGACTAAAGATCAAAGGACTCAGTACCCAGTCGGATCGGATACCCAGTCCGACTGGGACCCAGTTCACCAGTCAGAACTGGGACTGGTGCATCCCTACCACCAGCAATATCCATTTGTCGTAAAGTATTTGGTGCAACATTACCTAGAAAAAATAAACAGTGAAATTAATAAATAAAAAACAATATAATGAATACCTTCATTTACTGTTACAGAATATTTAACACCATGACGACTGTGCAATACGATACCGGTGGTACGTTCAGTACCAAGTAATGTCAAAATCGCATCTTTTGCTAAATAAAATCCTATAAGAGATAAGTTTTTTTTAATTAAATATCGTCATATTTGATAAATATTATCAGATGCACCAAATTTTTCAAAAATTATTTCTGTTATTTTTTCACGATTAACTTTTCGATTAGATAATGTTTCTGTAAGAAGAATTACGGATTCTTCTGGTTTAACAGGAAGTCGACTGAATATATAAGTCAAATATTCTTCCATTTTGTTGAAATCTTCAATGATACCATGATTAATTGGAAATGACAATTGAATCACTACAAAGTAAGACAAACAGAAATTTATGCATAATCTCTTCGATAAACTCACTTTTCTGTTCCAATGCTTCTTGACCATAATAACGTTTGTCGGATACACCAGTAATGTGACTTTTATTTTCGTACCCAACTACTGTATCATTCGTTAATGTAGGATAATCATTACTTGCCACACCGGCTTTACAAAGACCTATTTAATATCAAATTTTTGCTTATTAATAATATCGATAAATAAACATACCACTACCACAATCAATGATGACTACTTGCATGTCCATGTTGCTCTTATTTGGAAGAATGGTTGAATGAAAGAAAAGAGTTATTTTCGTCTATTTATAGAATAAAATGAAGGAGCGAATGAACGAAAACAAACACAAAGAATATCATGTTTACACACAGACATTAGTCATTCGAGGGAGCATCAAACGAATAAAGTTCAAAGCAAAGGATATATATATCTATCTATCGAGGGACCATCAAATGAATGAACTTTAAAACTAAGCATATATATATATCTTTTATTAGATATATTTGTTGAGGAATAACTGAATTAATATGTTGCGTTGGTGTAAGATTTGATAATAAACGTTCATTTTGATGTATTGTTGTTATTATAGTTGCATTTGGTAATGATGATGCTGAACTATAGTCCGTTTAAAAAGTCCGTGCGTGTGACTATTTTTTGAATATCTCGAGAACGAAACAAGGTGGAGACCTGGGGTTTTCACCAATAGATAGCCGTGATGACAGCGCATCTTTTTTCTATCGGACAAAACGTTCGATGAATCCTCCTAGATTCACTTTTTAGCGAATCTCTGAAAGATTGGCTGATAGCTCCAAAACCTTACATAAGGATCGAACGATTTTTTTATGTCAGTATATAGCCTAGAGCATCCTCTATATAAGAGAACTCAAGCGAACCTTTTATCTTTTATAGTTTGTGTGGAGAAGCATTGTTGCTGAAACTTCTTACTTCACAAATATAATCACTATGATATGTCTAACGAGGGAAGGTCCCCAAGTATGAATCACCGTTTCGAATTTGGTATTTGCCATTTTGTAGATCTCAGTGAGTACAACATGTAATATAAAGGGTTCGTGCCCATACTGGACTTTTAAGGGACTACGAAGTACCATAAAGGGTGTCCCATAGTAACTAGGAATAACGTGTTAATTGTTTTTTTCATAGTTTACTTTTACGTAGAGAGCTGAAAATTTTATTACATATGTATCTAATCAAGACCTTTTATTCCTGAAAGTTTCACCTCTCTAGCTATAACTAGCACTGAAATACATTTTCCCTACTCGATATCTGCGTTATTTTCACTGTATAATGCAAAAATCGCATACGAAAATTTATGTATTTCAATCTCGTCAATGTATTTCATCATTAGTTATAGCTAGAGAGGTGAAACTTTCAGGAATAAAAGGTCTTGATTAGATACATATGTAATAAAATTTTCAGCTCTCTATGTAAAAATAAAGTATGAAAAATACCATTAACACGTTAGTCCTAGTTACTATGGGACACCCTTTATGGTACTTCGTAGTCCCTTAAAAGTCCAGTATGGGCACGAACCCTTTATATTACATGTTGTACTCACTGAGATCTACAAAATGGCAAATACCAAATTCGAAACGGTGACTCACACTTGGCGACCTTCCCTCGTTAGACATATCATGGTGGTTATATTTGTGAAGTAAGAAGTTTCAGCAACAATGCTTCTCCACACAAACTATAAAAGATAAAAGGTTCGCTTGAGTTCTCTTATATAGAGGACACTCTAGTCTATATACTGACATAAAAAATTCGTTCGATCCTTATGTAAAGTTTTAGAGCTACCAGCCAATCTTTCAGAGATTCGCTAAAAAGTGAATCTAGGAGGATTCGGTGAACGTTTTGTCCGATAGAAAAAAGATGCGCTGTCATCACGGCTATCTATTGGTGAAAACCGCAGGTCTCCACCTTGTTTCGTTCTCGAGATATTCAAAAAATAGTCACACGCACGGACTTTTTAAACGGACTATAGTTTGTTCTCGCTCAAATTTTTACTGTAGATATAGTTCTCAGAGTTGTATGTCCATGTAAAAAATCGGCCTTATATCTCTTATTGTTCTCGAGATATTTACGTTATATGATGAGCTGTAAAAGGACATTTTTGATTTTTTATGGTACATTTACATTGGAGTAAGGCGTATCTCAACTAATATACGGTAAAGTGTCGGGAAACTTCCGCTGTGTAACATAGGCATAGAGTATAATAAAATGCACCGCTCCTATATGGTTATGGTCTACTTTCAGCTTTTCGCACCAATCGTACCAAAAAGTTGCAATTCACTCATATATATATAATGCAGCCTGTTATGATCAGATGTCAGTATAATGTTATTCAAACTCTATAAAAGCTGTTTTTGTTTGCAAAATGAGCTTTTGCTAATCGAAAAGTTGAATGAGAAGATATTGAGAAACTATCTTTAGGTTTGGATTGCTCGATCCTGAAGCCTTGTGATCAAGCTTTATCACATACCGTTATTTCCACTATACACCCTTTCTTCGACTGATAAATTCAAATCGAACATTTCAATAAATGATTCATAGATTCTAATTTATTTTTAGATGGTGTAGGCTTACTAGTAAGTTGTAATTTAATGGTAACTTCTCTTCCCTAATGCTATTAAGCGAAGCGTGCTAGTCACTTTCGAATATCATATTGCAATAATTAGCACCAAAAGTCAACAGGGAAGATTGTGCTTCCCTTATGAAAAATTCGTTTTCGTAATTGATCATAGAGCATGATTAACACGTTGCTGCATCCAAACGTATCATACATGAAAAGTTCAGTCTCAAACAGAAACATGCCCAGTAAAATTCATTGTTCATGACTTAAAACCACGATTCGTCTATGCACTTTTCTTGTAAAAGTTCAGACATGCTCATGGCAGGAGGGAACATATAGTTAACTGAGAAAAATATATCTTTGAGAACATGTATTAAAACATGTACTATGAAGTTAGTCTTCTATGATTGTGAATGCATTCTGTTTTGCAAATTGATACAAAAGTAGTTTTCAAATCAGACGTCAACAAACGTATTATTTACATATCAAAATTTATCAATGTTAAGTTAAGAGAATTACTTCCTTCATCAATTGAACAATTGAGAAAAGAAAAACATACTAGCATATCAACAACACCGATGAAAAAACGAAAGTATTCAAGACAAAAAGATAATATTAATGTTAAATTGCGAGATAATCTGAATAATAGTCCTTTCGAAGATGATAATCACGACAAAAGAAAAATAATAGTTGTGATAATAGAATAACAATTTAAGGAATAATGAATGAACTTATCTAATTTTTGTTGATAGGTATTTTTTATTTTCCTTTTTATTAATAAGCAACGCAAAAGCCTTTAAAAGAATATCAATATCTATTTCCTATCAATGTAATGTCGCCTTGACTTCAATATTTTTTGTTTGAAACAGCAAAGTTTGAAAAGTATATACATAAAATAAAACAAAACAAAACAAAACGACTTTCAGGAATGCCTCTTTTTAGATATCGTTCCCGTTCTCGTGGAAAACTAAACGGAAAAAAATCGTTCCTGAAGGACACTACTAATAATTATACTCGTAGTATGTTTCACACTAAACAGGTTCCATCTACATTAATCAAATCTCAACAAAAACAAATAATTTAATAATATTGATTATAGAAATAATTTTAATTTTCTCTCTTTCAACTATTTAGCTATATAGAACAATAAATGTTACGAATAATTGATTTTATATTTTAGAAAAAAAAATACTATTATAAATGGTCAAAAGTCTTTAGGGTTTGATTAACTGTATTGTTCCATAAATACTTTTCTTACCAATGATCTGTTTTATGTTTCAATGAAATCTTATCTATTTCTTTTTCATTGTATGAGTAACGCATAAATAAAATGAGCTTAATTATTGACAATAAATTACACAAGAAAATGATTGAAATTCAACACTATCGTTGAAACTGCAAAGAAATGACTTTCGAGAAACGTAAAAGAAGACGCTTATGTAAATAGTGAATGATAAGATAAAGAAAACGACCTTGAGTCTTCTAATGTGTACCGGCCTTTAATTTACAGAACATATCAGTATGAATGTGTCATCGAATATTTCTGTTTTAAAATAATTAACTTTTCTTACATATTGGCATCAATCAAGTTAACACTATAAGACAACATAAGATAGAATTATAGCACATCATGTCCACATAGAAACAATTATCTTTTTAATTAAATAATTTTCTATTTGAATTAATTCATTTAGTTTAAGTATGCATTCAAATCAATAGAGTGCTATTTTCATTAAAAAGAAGCTCAATGTTTGCAAGAAAAAAAAAGATAAAACAACATAACAAAACGAAAATAAAGTTGTTTATTGTGTGTGTGTACAAGTAAAGTCAGAGACAAAAAAGAAAGAAAGTTATCTTGCTATCAGCCTATCGATAAGACAAACTTTTGAGGCTATGTAAAAAAAAATCATTTATTTGACTGTGAATCAACATGGATGCAAGTATAAAATTTGATGACACTATATATAGACCAAAGAAATGTAATCGAAATACATCAGCACCACCACATAATTCAAAAACAATTATTAAATATATTGCACCACGTGTTATTAAAGCTAATCCTACAAACAATGCTCAAGGACTTCATCGTGGTACAGGTTGGTTAAATGTTAGTTCACATTTTTCATCAGCAACATCAACTCATGGTCTTGCATCACTTGTTCAAAATCCAAAATTTTCAACAATATCTAAAATTCATAGTATTGATGGTGAACGTATTATTGATGAACAACGTGAATTATCAAGAGTAACTGAAACACTTGGTAATACAATAATAAAATATTGTACTTTACAAGCACATAATGGTGTTCATGAATTACAAATAAAATGGCTTGAAAAACATATAAAAGAAGATGGTGGAATTATTGAAAAAATGTTTCAAACAGAAATGGCCAGTGCAAAAAAATTAATTCATGAAACTTTACAACAAAAACCTAATTTAGAAGGAAAATTAAATGAAGCAGATAATACAACACAAGCACATGATAGACAATATCAACAATTATTAGCAAAACGAAATACTTATAGTAAAGGTTTATTTGATTTTGAACGTAAAATAGCACAAAATCATGTGGAATCACAATTTCTTCAACGTCGTATACGTCATTTCGATGATGAAAATAAATTTTATTTATCAAGAAATCAAATTTTACATGATCGAA